AAGCCCCCGGTGGTCCGGCCACGGTGCTTCCACCACCTCCTTTAGCAGCAGAATAACTGGCATAGAACACCCCACCTTCAGTCTGCAGCTGAATTTGCCTTGTGGCAGGATGATTCACAGGACTTTGAAAATACCCATAGTGGGAAAGTATTTGCATGTGTTGGACAACATGGTGCGTCTGTGCTGGGAGGTGTGAAGCTGCTCCTCTGTCTTTTATTTCCACATTAAAGCACTGTTTTTTCTGTGGTTGGACCAAGCAAGGCCCAATATCTCCTACCAGTGTGGTGAATCCTCGAAGGTGGCAGCTCCCACCAGGGATCTAGGAGGAACTTTGGCCATTTGAATATATTTCTCTGTGACAGGGATATGTCACCCCAGCGACCCTTGGTCATTCGCACACAGTATGGGGAGAAAACAGGCTAAACCTGCAGGCATGGAGCAAGAAGTCCATTCCTCTAAGTCATGTCAAGGTCCAGGTGTGGCCTTTTGCTTTAAAAGAGGAGATGTTCAGAGACGGGGAACATCTCAGGATTTGGGTGGTGGCTGCTAATCCTGGTAACACTACATTCAGATGAGGAATGTAGGGCACTCAGGATCAGTGATTTCAGAGCTGTTCTCAGGCTGACAACACCCAGCTGTTGTCTCCTAAAGCAACACCATCAGAGGAGGTGACTCGTGTACTGCTGTGCCTATGGCACCTGGTTGCAATGTTTTGTCCTTAAAAATCCTGGACCTGCAGCCCCAGGTGGTACCCAAGTCCTGGCTGGAGATGGGAGCTGAAGCACCTGGCCCTGGAAAATGTCTCCCTGCGATAGCTCCAAGAGGCTCCTGCCCACATGGGAAAGTTCCTTTTGTAAATATTTCTCCTTTTCAGTATCTCTTAAATATTTTCAGTGTTTCATTTCAGCTTCTTCAAGAAAAGAATCCTAAAGAAAATCCCCGAGGAGGAGGAAGATGGTGATCTTTCCTTTATATTTAGGATTTTTAGTAAAAAATACCCTTTTCCTGAACTGCTTTAATACTAACTATTTTTTTATTTCACTTTTTGACAGCATCTGGAAGATGCCCTGCAGAATATCATCAGAAAAATGGTTTCTTGGAGATTTTTAAATCAAATAAAAACAAAGAAAAGAGGAAGGGCTTTGTAAGCCCATAGGCAAGTTGGGATGTAAACAGTGGGCTCAGGACAGGAAAAGTGATAGCCAGGGTTTGCACAGCATTCAAAGGAGTAGCCCCAGGCTCACCCTCAAAGAATCTGTAGCTTGTAAGTTTTTCACGGGATTAATGGTGTTGGAAAACTTTCTTTAGTAACATTACATGTTAACTTCTAAACCAAACAACATACATTCAACGAGAGTCCATCTGGTTCAATAGAAATAGATCTTTATTAATAACATGCACATCATACGTATATTTAAAATACATATACATTTTTCTACTATTCACTTTAGAAAACAATTTCATAAAAACCTTCAATCAGGTCCCAGGTAATTTTAAACATTAAAAAGCTGTTTTTTTGTTACAGAACCATTAGGTATTATTCCAATTACTTGGTGCGTAATCACCATGTATTTAACATTTTGCAGGCTCCTGCGTTTCAATAGAAATAGGTGTTCCCTTTTCTGCTCTGTTAATCCTGTCAAATATATGATGATATACTTGACAACACCTGCCACAGTTGTTATATGCAGCTGTGATTCCCTCCTGAGAGGACACCACACAGGTGGCATTTAAAAGCTGGAGACAAACTTTTTTTACAACTTTCTGAGTTCCTGCAAGGGGTTCCTGGTGCTGCAGGTGACCCAGAACCCAGCTATGACAGAAACCAGAAAAACGGAATTTCATGAACAGCAAAGAGGAAAGGAAAAAAAAAAAAAAAAAAAAAAAAAAAAAA